ATTTTTATAGCCATTTCAACATAATTTTTATTTGTCAAAAATGAATTGCTGAGTTAAACTGTAGTATGCAAATTAGTGACGCTGCAATCAAAATACACTGGTTATCATAAATTAAGGAAAAATCACAAAAATAGCGATAACTGCCTCAAAAATAAGCCGTGTAAAATTTGAATATGTTGCCAAGTAAGAAAAGCTGAGTAAAACTGCGATATGCAAATTAGTGGCGCTGCTTTCGGAATACGTCATCTGCGACGAGCATAAAAGTCCATGTTTGAGAGCAAGCTTACATATTTCACTGTGACAGTGACATCAGAAATCTGAGATAGCCAATTCGTAGCAATGACCTCCAGGCATCATTTGCCTGCAGAACTACGACGGAGAGCCAATGAGAGACTAGAGGCAGGATAAAGTCAAACAGAAGTTGGCCATATGGCCTAAATGTGAATCCTTCTATGGTTCATAGACTTTGGAGGCGATTTCAAACCACAGATTCGCCATTTAGGAGGTTCAGCCAAGGACGGCCAACTGCTACGACGAGCGCCGATGACCGATATTTGACATTATGTGCACGCAGGAATAGAACCGCTACTCCGATTCTTCTTAGATCCTCCCTTGCTGCAGCCACCAGAAGGTTGTGTCAACGTCAGCTGTGCGTAGAAGGCTTCACGAAGGTGGTCTGTATGCGTGACGACCAGCCATTTGCGTGCCGCTCACGTCACGCCATAGGAGGGACCGTTTTCAGTGGGCACGACAACATGTCCACTGGACGCCTGATCAGTGGAGGGCGGTTATCTTGACGGATGAGTCCAGGTTTAGTCTAGAAAGCGATAGTAGGCGGCGTTGTTTGATATGGAGAGAACTTAGAACCCGTTATCATCCGTCAAACATCCGTGAAAGAGATGCATACGGAAGAGGCAGTGTCTGTGTTTGGGGTGGCATCTCTTTGGGTGGATGCACAGACCTCCATATCTTTCCAAGGGGAACCGTGAATGCTCAGATTTATAGAGATGACATCCTTGATGTTTATGTAAGCCCATATGCCGGGGCAATAGGTGATGCTTTCCTGTTACAGGAAGACAACGCAAGCACACACAGGGCTCGCATCGTAGATGATTATCTTCAACAGGAAACAATTATGCGCATGGAGTGGCCATCTCGATCCCCGGACTTGAATCCTATCAAGCACGTTTGGGATGCTTTAGGGAGACGTCTAGCTGTTCTCAATCCGCCCCTTCAAACCTTTGTCGGGCTTGCAACTGCTTTGCAAGAGCAATGCTCTCGCTTCCTATGGAACTGATAGACCGCATAATTGAAAGCATCACACATCGCTGTATGTGCTTTATTGCTTCTAGAGGCTATCATATTCCATATTGAAGGTACTTTTTATATAGCAAACTGACACCTTCGATTTGTTCATTTTTATACATGTGCTAATTTCTATACTACCATATTTGTTTGGTAATTTCTTTTTATGTTATTTGATACCTTACTATGTGTTGTATATTGTGGGTAAGTTTCATTAAATTCTACATGTAACTTTTTCAGTAATCGTGATTTTTGTGATCTTTCCTTAATTTATGATAACCAGTGTATGTTATCTGCAAGGAGATAAAACTGTATGTTTCAAAGTAAGCCAGCAAATTGTGTTGTAATACTGAGATAAGAAAGTGGGATAGCCAATTTATAACAATAACCTCCAGGCATCATTTGCCCAAAGAACTGCGATAGAGAGTTTTAGAGAGTTTAGGAGACTAGAGGCAGGACAAAGTCAGTCAGACAGTAGTGGCCAGAAGACGAAATGTGATCTTTCTGTGGTTCATAGACTTTCGCAACTATTTCTAACCATAGATTCGCGATTCAGGAAGTTCAGCCAAGGACAGCCAATCGCTACGAGGAGCGCCGATGACTGATATTTGTTGATATGCTCACGAAGGATTAAAACCTCAACTTCGACTACGCGAGGCGACCAGCCATTTGCGTCCCGCTTACGTCACGTCATAGAAGGGAACGTTTGAAGTGGTCGTATCCACATGTCCACTGGACAGCTGATCAATGCAGGGTTGTTCTCATTACGGATGAGTCTAAGTTTAGCCTCCAAAGCGACAGTAGCTGCTATGGAAAGAACATTGGAACCCGTTGTCATCCATCAAACATCCGTGAAAGAGATGCATAAGGAAGAGGCAGTATCTGTGGTGGTATTTCTCTGTCTTTCCACGTAGAACCATGAATGTTCAAGCATACAGAGATGCCTTGCTTAAGTACGCCTTTATGCCGGGGCAATTGGTGATAATCTCCTGCCTGCTACAGGACGACAACGCTAGACCGCACAGAGCTCGCAACGTGGAGGATTATCTTCAGCAACAGGCAATTCAGCGCATGGAGTGGCCAGCTGGATTACGGGACCTGAATGCTATCGAGCACGTCTGGGATGCTTTAGGAAGACTCATAGCCGCTCTCAGTCCTCCTATTCAGATTCTGGCCACGTTTTCAACTGCCTTGCAAGAGCAATGGTTCTCAACTGCCTTGCAAGAGCAATGGTTACTACGTAACTGATAGACTGCATAATTGGCAGCATCGCCATCGCACATTGCTGTATGTGTTGTATTTATACTGTATAATCAGGCACTGCGTTCTTTACAAGTCGGGCTGCAGTCTAAAATCTTTATAAGGATAATGCAGAAGGGCTATATAAAAAAGCTGAAAATCACATTAAGCTCCGCTTCTATAGCAACTAATCCGTGTTTAATTCAAATTTGACAACAACCTTTCGATCCAATGTTTTGTTTATTTGTGCCCATAATAATTACTGCTGTTTGTCCACTATCAAAAAATATTCAGAAGGTAATATATTCTGCATTTACAATTAATAGGAAGAAATAAACAAGATTTTTTTGGTACTATTCGGTTTCGAGGGCCGTAAAAAATCGCCAAACTATTGTTGATGCCAGTGCTGCCAAAAGTAATTGCGGCAACCCTAACGCAAGAAAGGAAGTATAATATAAATAACTATCTAAATATTGATGTTTTAATTTAGATGAAAGGTTAATTTCATATAATATTTCGCTACCTAGTTATCACTAAAGCATAACGTCATCTCGTTGGTTGTTCAAACATAATTTTCTATAATGAATGATGCCTTTTCTTTGAAAACATTTTCGGTAAACTGCAGAATCGCCCGCTTGTTTCTTTGCCGCTTTTTACAAGGGTAAAAACAATTGGAATTTTGTCAATTTTCTTTTACTTTTTAAGTGCCAATAGGTCGATGTGTACATAAATAAAGTCGAGGGTGTGAGCAGTACCATTTTTGTGCAATTCTAGGATTTTTTTTTTAAAGTGAAAATAAGTCGATGTGCACATGGATACCAAGTATGTGTAATTCTTAAAAACGCGTCAAGCAGTGGGTGATTTCTGCACTTAACCCAAAATTCTATCGCATACTTTTCATCATAGGCAATTCCCAAATTGTTAAATCCATAGGATATCAAAAAAGGAATTAATATTTAAACTAGTATTTCAATGGCGTCTTAAGAAATATAGAATTATATAAACTTACGCAATCTGAAATCAGCGCGTACGCGAGATTTGGCACGCTGTTAAATGGGCGTAATTGCTAGATTTGGCGCTTTCGCGCATACATTTTCGCTGCAATTTTTTACGGCCCTCGAAACCGAATAGTACCGATTTTTTTTGTTACTCTTACTAGGTAATACCTGCAGGTAGGCGTTTTCTGCTCTAAACTGTTCTTTTGAATGTACAAATAATTTACAATTCTGTATAGAAAAAATGCTGCTTATGTTCTTTAAGCACAGCGAATGAGATAGTGTATTATTATTTTATACTACTAGGTTAGTCTTCAGAATAGACGCTATATTTGACGCTTGACGCTACTAATCAAGTGTTTAATTAGCAGCAATAAAATCATACATGCTGCTTTTCGTAATTTTAAAATTACATTGAATTTTAATATTCTGAAATTATTATCCATTTAGAAAGAAAAATTAGAACTAACTTTTTGCATCTCAAATAATTAGCTTGATTTTAGTGGTTTAAATTTGTTGTAAAGTGTAGTACCATTGATGACTCTTTTTTTTTTTTTTTTTTTTTTTTTTTTTTCCCAATGGCAGATTGTGAACAGTTACAGAGTAACACAGTCCATTAATCTATACAAGGCCAGATGTGGTGGTCTCTTTATTAAGGAGGCACATATAGGTGGGCCACCATCGCCTCCTATGAAGGGACGGACAGTTACAACCGTGACCTCTCCGGGATTCGAACACAGGCCCTTCTGTATCGCAGTCAGGCTTCCCTAACCACTATACCGTCTGGGCGGCTTGATGACTCTTTTAATATTATAAAAATTACGTATTCTAAAACCAATGTACTTTAAATTTTAAATTTATCAAATTTGTGGCTTGTTTTGTCTGTTGAAAAAATATTTCTGCACAAATTTCATGATCTGAAAGGCGGACAAGAATGAAGCTCGCTGTGCTAATGTATCATATATCATTTGATCGTGCTAAAGTACCATATATTAAATACAGTTAAATGAGCAAAATAAGATGCACAAATAAGCACAAAATTAGCACAAATAAGATGAAAGCGAAAACGGACACATACATGCATACATACATACATTTCTAAACCTGGCCCTAATAACCGAAACAGCGAAAACATTTTGAATTTAGAGACAGACTAATCTGATTTTGCACAAATTCAACGTAAGTTAATATCTGACATTCATACATTGTATAACGGCGATCAGGTTCAAACTATGTTCACCCTAGAATGCCAGTATGTAACTCTATGAATTGCAGATCACAGAGTTTAAGTTCCGACTGATGTTAAATTTATTCTTAGATTATTTAAAACAGATTTCACTTTTCGAAACATTTTGTACAAGTATTTATTAGTTAAATTTTTATATCACAAACTATCCCATAAAGCACTTTTCAAGCATTCTATTACGAACGTAAACCACTATTAAACTATAAAAATCTTACCAGCTATGCTTTTACTTTTAGAGGAATACAAGCAATACCCAAGACAGTCTTTACGGAGGTTGTAACCATTTGGAGCACATAATGCATATCCACGCTGCTGAGGACATTGCTTTCGAAGACATCTGCACTTCTTGCTTGAAGCTTTGGTCGATGGTCTCAAATTGTTCAATGATGCGCTGGGAAGAAGTTTTTTGTGTCGCATACGTGAAGAAGTGGTAGCACTCACTGCGTTTTCTAATGTACGAAGGTTCTTAATGTTTTTAATTTCACGAACGTCTTTAATAGTACTTTGACAAGGGCATTTTGCTTCGGTTGAGAATTCTACATCCTGCTCAATACTAAATTCGTCTAAATATTTAATGACTTTTCCAAACCAGACCATTGCCCTTGATTCGCCCATTTACTTCAAGTAAAAATAACCCTTTTATTGGGAGGAATAAATTGCATGAATCTGTGTGGAGAAGATTTTAAACGATAAGTCACATTTGCAAAATTATGCTCATCCAAATCACTTTTAGATTAAAATTAAAAACCTTTCAAATTTTCAAAAAAAGGTAGTATCGCTTTTCTCTATTTGCATAAATAAGCTCTCGCGATATCACTACTATTAAATATTAAACATATGCACATTGTATACCTTTTTCATTCTTGCATTTCAAACTCTACTGAAATTTTGGAAAATTTTAAAAATGTTTGTTTGATATACTTTTTGCTTTGCAAAGATGGCTAGGATTACATTATTTATATAACATTTGAATTTCAAAAAAGCAATTCCGGATACTGGGTTCTGATTTTTACTTCCTTGTACGAAATAATGGATATACTGTAATCTCGAAAAATTTCGGGTATCATATTTCAACGAAAATATCCATTTTAACCTCTCTCAAATCCACTTGAAAGATGTTTTTGATCTGTACGTACGGACAGAAAAGGACATTTTTTACAAAATAGATTCAAAATGAATTCAAAAGATATTTTTTATGCTGTCTGACGTAGGTACGTACGGTATATATCTCACATAACTCAAAAACAAGTAGAAAGTGCAAATTTTGTATATGGGACTGCTATAATATGTAGTTGTGCATCTCCTTTTTCATTGCAATCGACCGCACCAAACACGTTACTGTGTTCGTAAATTGTGCATTTTTTGATTTAAAAAGTCATTAAATCTTTAGAAATCTTGCTTTTAAACAAGAAAAAAGGAGATGAGGACTTTGGCGAACGCAGTTTCCTCCAGACCGTGAGGCTTGTTATATTCGTTTTCTGAACACTGTATTCGTTTTCACAATTGCAGAAAGAATTAGATAAATGTACATTTATGTCCATATGTTACGATGCTTCCAATAACAAATATTTAATATTATTTCCCACAAGTGTTAGACTTTCTGATTCAGAAACAGGAATTAGTTAGAATATTAGATTATTAGAAGTTAGAATATTAGATTTTTTTTTTTTTTTATTGCCGGGTGAAACTTCACAAATAATTTTTGATTCAATAAGTACTATTTTAAAAAATAATGATTTGAATAATAAAATTATTCCCTATTGAGGATAACGCAAACGCAAATTTTCGCGGAAAAGCTAGAAGAGGCATCAATAACGTTTTTACGAAACTTAACGAACATTTGAACCAACAAATTACTGGGGTAGGTTGTGCAGCGCACATTCTACGCAGTACTATTCAAACAGCATCTGACTTACTTCCAGTGGATCTTAAAATATTAATGCAAAATTTTATTCGTATTTTTGTATACATATACACCGTGCGTGTTGAAAGTTTGAAGGATTTTTGTGAAAGCGCAGAAATCGAATATAAAAGAATTATTGGTTACAGCAAAACACGATAGCTAGCTCTTTTACTAGCTGTAGAAAATATTTTAAAAATATACGAACCATTAAAATCATACTTTTATCACAAGATAAATGTCCAAGAATATTGCAGCTCTTTATTGAAAATGACACATCGCAAATTTGGCACAGTTCATCCACAACCAAGCTACATTACTTCACAATGCTGTGAAAATTATTCAAGAGGACAAAATTTCAATTATGGAAGTGTCAATTATGGAAGATTATCAAAACAAATTAATAAAATTGTATTATATATAAAAAATTGCAATAAAATTATAAGGTATTTCTCCCACTTCCCTAGCGTGCCTTCGTGGTGTAACGGTAGCAAGCTGGGCCGGTATTCCAGAGGTCCGTGGTTCGATTCCCGGCGAAAGCGATTGCATATTTTTCAACTTTTCTGCTTCCAATTAACCTAATGACTCTACAAAATAAGCAACATTCCATAATACAAATATTATTTATCCTAATAAATAAATTAACCAACTTCCTAGTTGAAAAATCTTAAGAATTCAAATGGTTTAAAGGAAGTTAAGAACTTTGTTTCCTAAAAGAAATCATCCAAAACGTTTTATATAATTACAGTTATATATAATTAAAACATAATATAAAAAAATTACAATGAAATAAGCAATAAATCTCATATTTTCAAGAGCACTTTAGCAATCTTGCTTTTAAGAAGAAAGGAGATGAGGACATTTTGCGAACGCCGTTTCCTATTTTCAAGAGAAAACGGTGAATGGAAAGCAATGAATGAAAAACTGTTGCCAAAACCACATTTCTAAAAGAATGAAACTGTCATCAGAAAGCAATGACGTTGTTCTTAGGTTCCGGTTAAAGTTTTTATGTCTTTAGTTAATCTGCGTGCAATAGTTGTAGAATTATTAACAATTTAAGCGTTTTGGTGGCACTAAGCACAACGAGGCCGCCATTTGTTTGCATTTGAAACTTTTAGTAGAATAAGTCACTTGGTTCACCAACTTCAGTGTCTTTTTGCCCAATGTGACCAAACGTAACTTTCAATTTTGCTCACCGAAAATTTTGTCTTCCCGCCCGCTGGCCGAATTGCTTGTTTTTGAGTAGAAACTCTAATTTTAATGAGATACATTCCGATGACCTCATTGATCACGTGACTTATGTATACCTTTTATAAGCGAACAATGGAGATGACCTCAGAGATCACGTGACTTATGTACAGCTAATGCAAACAAGCAAGTTCATTCTTCCTCTTCTTCTCAAAGTGAGAACTGAATTGATTGAATTAGAAGTATATCTCTAGTGAAATTCAAGGAAATAAGTTTAAATGAAGTGCAAAAAAGGGTGCTTTTCCGTTTCGATGGCGCAAATCTCGCCAAGCAGCTTTTATTGGCGACAACATACAGTATACACATAAAAAATATTTAAAAATGTTAGTTCTAAGAATTTTTTATTTTGCAGGCATAGACATTTTAATATCGTTTAAAATTTTGTAAAAAGCCTATAAATAAAGACAATAAAATTGATTAATTTAAACATTTACTATGAACATGGCTCAACATTCCGATTGGCCGGTTCATATCACGTGACCCCAAGTGATCTCATCTCATGTAAACTACGCTACAAAAATCTAATTCTGTCAGTTATTATTATCTACATTAATTTCAAGTCAAATCTTAATTTGGAACACAAGTTTAAATGCAAGAATTATTTCAGTTCGTACGAATAGCTTATTCAGAAATTATGCAAAACTGCGGTGCTTTACTTCGCTAGTGCATTATCATTAGAATTGATGAATTTAATCCTTGGCTTTTCCTATTCTACATTTTCGACTTCAGGTAAGCGGTGTGAATGCATCCTAATTGACTTAATTACCGTGAATGACCTTAGGGCATAAAACTGAAATATCTGGTAAAAATTCTATGTAGTATTGAAATGTAAAAATTTTATGTAGTATATGAAAGTATTGAAAGAAGCAATCAATCTGATAACAAACGGCAGCAATTTTTTTTTTTTTTTTTTTTTTTTTTTTTTTTTGTTTTTTTTGAAAATATGAGGCGTTAAAGGTTACAATCGAGGATATTCCGTTTGGCATCAGTTGCACCATTATTGGCGACTTTATCGCCTGCACCAGCAAAACGGAAAAGTACACCAAAAAATTATGTATTATTTAACAAGCCGTCGAAGCAAGTCATGTGGGTCCACATCAGATATTTTACTTTTTTGTGCCTTCTCTCAACACGTAAATAATTGGATCTGCAATTCTTTTCATATATTACATGTTTCCCTTTAATATTTTAACAACTTTTTAATTTGATGCGCCACATTTTCATGTTTAAATGTTTTAATACGTAACGCAAGGAATAAGTCTGAAAATGAGCAAATGTCATTATTTTATAAATAAAGTTTAAAAATATATGCCTTTAGAAAATGTTTAATCATTTTCTTCTTCGATTGTGACATGGTGAAAGAAAAATACTATATTCTTCTACCTGTTAGCTTCTTTCTTTTTAATTCAAAGCAATACTTCCAGAAAATATGTAATAATAGCATAGGGAAGACAGAATATTTAATAAATGTCGTATTTATCATAATAAAAATACATTAAGGTGCATTTCTGCCGTTTTATCTCCAAAAACTGTTTTAACCATCCGCACTTCTAAAACTTCTAAAAACAACATACATCGTCTGTTGCCAATAGAGAATATGAAAACTATTTAACAATTAGAAATTAATTTTTAAAAAGAAAATACTTAAACTTTTATTGTGATGCAACTGTCGAACGCATGTTTTAAGCCATTGAAATGCCTTGCTTGCTTCGTTTCTGATTTAGAAAATCTGCATTTTAAAACAATTTTCAGTAAAGATTATTCTTTAATAAAGTATACAAATTTTTAGTAGTTGAAAGTACTTATAGCGATAATACTGCAGTTGGTTCAGAGAATAAATAAAAAATTGTAAACAAATTATAAATTATTGCAAATATTTGCTTACATTTTATAATAATTTATTTTCTTATTGGCAATTTTACGAATTTGTGTATATTTTGCAAAGCAAAAGCCCAGAATAGGCTGTATAAACAAAAGAGCTAAAAAAAAACTTAGCGATGTCATCAATCAGTAGGGTTAAGCATGTGACATAAAAATATGTTCTCGTCTTTTATACTACTTGTAATTTGCTATTTCTTACATGAAAATAACAGTAATAGGTTGTTTATTATTCTAAATTAACATTAAACTCTTTATTTTAAATTTACATTTCTAACAATTAAGTTTTAGTTTTACAGAATGTATGTATAATGTATTGTTTTTTGAAAATTAACATGATAGAATAATTCAATTTTACCATTTAAAACGGTAAATAACACCACAGTCTTACATACTTCAGTTTCATACAACTTCAGTATTTTCAAAAACTCTTTCAGCTTTCTTTCGTATTAATAAAAATAAGAGAAACTATTTTTTAAATTTAAGTTCATATCATGGGGCATTCTAAGTGCATCGTTTTCACAAATGACTTTATTGCTGCACAGCGTCACAGCCCCTTATACACTAATAAGTAGACAATCTTCATTACTACATAAAACGCTTAAACTTAATGAAATTTTAGAATTAATGAAAAAAAAAAAAGAAAATTATTT